GCCGTGTGCTGGCAATGTCACGAGCTCTGTCCCCCTTCCCTCAGGGCTGAATGCAAAGCCCCAGCTCCAACCAGCTCACCTCTGGGGGACTCTCTGTGGGTCTTTTTCCTTCTCCTCCTTGTGCAGGAGATGATGGAACCAGCTCTGCTTGCTTCATCTGCCTCTACAATGGAAAGCCCCAAACATCATGGAGAATAACCTGTCAAACCTATGGTAGTGGAGGGTGAAGTGTGTTGGTGGTAGTTACTTAGACGAAACAACTGTGCAAGAGGTGTTGGAAGGAACAGCCAAGGCAGGAGCTGCTCTTCACCCCAGAGAAGGAAATGCAATTGTTGTGAGAAGATTCCACACCTCGGTCCTGCTCCCTGCTTTCTTGTCTTCCCTCTATCCTAGTGCACTCTGCTGCCCCTCTCCAGCTCCCAGAGTTGCTCTCCCTGGGACAGAACTTGTTTGCTGGGCCTTCTATTAGTGGTTGCATCTTTACATCGATCAAAGACCTCTAAAGGGTGCTATGGGGTAGAAAACAGATTTTCTGGTTAAAGAAGCGAGGGTCTGTGTGTAAGAGCAGGGATACAGGGGGCAGAGGAGGGGGAAGCCATGGTGTTTTACCAGTCCACTCAAACCAGCAGCCACCACAGCAGAGGGGCACCTCTCACCAGCAGCATCTCCAGAGGCACAAACCACAAATGGCTGATGAAAAAACCCCAACAGGAATGGACCATATAAGCTGTCATAATATCAGGAGGCTCATGGCCTGAGTTCCCCAGAGCTGCTGATATCCCCAGGGCACTAAATAAAACTCTTCCCCTTCACCGAGTTCCCATTTCCCAGAGCTGAGTGTATGAACAGGCGACCGAAATGTTCATGATTTCACTTACCTGTTCCACGTGGGTGGGGAGAAGAAACAGAGCCGTCGTGCCACCAGGAGGGAAATAACCATGATCTCTCTAAATAGGTGTCTTCCAACTGCCAAAATGTGTTTTGAAGCTGAGTGGGGAACATACACAAGCAGTGACTGCAACACAGCCACTGCTGCAGATTATGTAAAGAGGATTGGACTTAATATTTCTGTGAGAGTTTTAACCTTTGCAAATGAGCTGGGCATAGGGATAACGCGTGCCCAAGTTGTCAGGAGGAAATCATAGAATCATAGAATGGTTTGGGTTGGAAGGGACCTTTAAACATCACCCAGCCCAACCCCCCTGCAGGAGCAGGGACACCTTTAACCAGATCAGGTTGCTCACAGCCCTGTCCAACCTGGCCTTGAGTGTTTCCAGGGATGGGGCCTCCACCACCCCTTTGGGCAACTCATGCCAGGGTTTCACCACCCTCCTTGTAAAGAATTTCTTCCTTATACCTAGTCTAAATCTCCCCTGTTTTAGTTTAAAACCATTACCTCTTGTCCTATTGCAACAGGCCTTGCTGAAAAGTTTGACCCCATCTTTCTTATAAGCCCCCTTTAAGTACTGAAAGGCTGCAGTAAGGGGTCCTTGGAGCCTTCTCTTCTCCAGGCTGAACAACCCAGGCTGGTTTCCAGAGGAAGAAGTGACAACCACTTGCCCCAGCGTGGAGGGAGGGCAATGGGTGAGCACGTTTGCCGAGCCAGGCTGCTGGAGATAATAAACATGAGGTAGTAATGAGATAGTAAACGTGACAGTAAACAGCCACCTGGCCAGCAGCCTTGGGCCCTTTGCAACCACCTCCATCCCCAGGGGAAGGAGTCTGAGCTGCTCAGCTGCTCCTGACGGTCCACAGCTATGATGACATCTGAGGGTGTAACTGTGGTTTCTATAGAGCCATTTATTGGAAGGGTATAAAAATAGAGTACAAATTTCAATAAGATGTATTTAAAACACGTTGTAGGCAAATAGTCCCACGCATTGGTGGGAGAGGAGCCCAGAAGCTTGGCAGTGTGTCCAGACTCCCTGATGCACCCAGATCCGCTGAGCAAAGCAGAGCCTCAGCCCCCAGAAATGGGTTCTGACCCTTCTTTCTGCAAACCTTTCTGTCCCTCTGCTCATGCTGCTCTGCTTGCCAAGAGCTCTCACCGGTGCAGGCACTATTTTATCAACCAGCCGTTGGAAATGCAGACACCTGCAGAGGCCAGGTGAAATGTCTTCTGCGTTGGAGAGGAGCCCTCCGCCGATGCTCGCTGGGAAGGCAGAGCCTGTTCCTCCACTCTGTGGTATGCTGATAACAGTAGTAAATATGTGCAGTATCACATCGGTTAGGTTAATACTGAGTAATGTGTAAATGGGCATCTTAGACCTTTAACAGGCTGAAGTTGTTTCCATTCAAAAGTCCCATCCAAAGTCAGATCAAAATTATCCTTTTCCTGCTCTCGGGAGAGTTCCAAAAACACCTGAAATGGGCAAGATAAAGCTCTGATTATTTCTCTGACATTCACTAGACACTGTGATGCTCCTTTACAGGAGGTACAGCTCGCAACCCCTACGGGGGTTACGTCAAGTGGCTTTATGGTGGGGAGCACACACGCAGTGGCTAGGACTGCTGTGCTCTCTGGTATAACCTGCTGAGAGGCACCGGCTGCCCATTAGGTACATCTGTAGAGTAGGTTTTGCCCACCAGTGGATTGACATAAACATTCCTCACCTTTGCCACCAGCCCTGTACAAGCGGCAATAACCTGCTTGCTTCAAGGGCAACCATAGAGGCTGGGCATGGGCATCTACCAAGGGCATCCATCCCTTGGAAGTCCCGGGTGTCTGCCTTGGGTGAGTGGAGTCATGCAGAAACACTTTGCCCAGGTTTATTCCTGCCGTGCTAAATCCCAGCAGGGAAAAATCCAAACATTTTTCACCACTTTTCTGGCAGAGAACCCCTCACCCACCACCCCCTGGCAGTTTTTTGGTGGAGCAGCCTTCTGCCACTGCACTGGCCCAGGTCTTGCTGCAGCTTTTATTCCCACTCATGCCTTTACAGCATGACTGGCCTTGGAATCACGTGCCTGAGCCAAAGTATTCAAAGAGAAGCTGTATTCCTCAAGGTTGAAGTTTCTTTTGGCTGTGAAGAAATGGAGAGAGAGTTGGAAATTAGCAGCCTGTGTTCCAACCTTTTCCAAAAGTCAGCTTGTTTTGTTCTTACCTTCCTCTAGTTTGGAGAAAGACTGAGACAGGGGCAGTGCATCTTCCATTGGAACCTTGTAGACTAGCAAAGAGGGGAACCTTGAAGAAAAAGAAGAAAAAGTGATTTTTGCTCTGTATTGAGGTTCTGGGATCAAAACTTTACATCACACTATGAATATGGATCTATGGATGTTTTGGAACAGGGTTGGATGTGGTGACATTATCAAATCAGATCCCCATATAGAAAGTCTGAGCTCTTTATCCCTGTCCAGCTGAGATCCTGTGTGTGGCCATCACACCAGGCACATTTTTAGGGCTGAGGTAGTGTTGGAGCCACTGTTCATCCCATATTTTATAGTTACCGCTCCTGACGGGCTGCACTTGGGAAAATCCTCAAAATCTCAGCATGGAGGAGATCAGTGCACTCTGGATCCTTGACCTTCATTTCTAGTAGATAGCCTTTACCGAACTTGTTCTTCAGGTACTGAATGGAACCAATGCACCTGCAGGGGAGGGAGGAAAAAAAAAAAAAGAGATGTCAGTGTGAAACCACTGATGCCCCACCATCTGCTCCTTCCCAAATTGTGCTGCTGGTGAAACCGCGGGGAGCACTTCATAGAGCCCATGGTGATGGGGTCAGGTGGGTGAGGCTGGAGGAGAAGCCCTGTCGCTGCATGGACTGAAGAGAGGCCAGGAGGCATCTCCCAGCTCAGCCATGTGGCTGGGGGTGCCTCTGCCTCCTCCATGTAGTGCGTCGTCAGAATGGCGCCCGTCTCCTTGGTTTTCAGGGCAGCACGAATCATATTCCTGAGGACCAGAAAGGGGGAAAAAAAAGCTGACACTTCCTAGGAATATTGGACACTTTTCCTTATTCCTTTGTCCCCGCAAAAGCTCTTCCCTAAAACAAGCGTAAAAATTTCACATACAGCAACTTTAGAGTGATGTGCACATGGTAATACTTCCAAATAATGACAAAAAGAAATATTTTTGACTCAAGCCCATTTATGGACTCTTCCTAATCCTATACATGACTGTCCTAAAGTTTGCAACAAGGATGAAGTTAAAATGGTTTTTCTCTCTCCTTGCTCATGCTTTAGCTAGAGAGAACCAGGGAGATGGCGTTTCCAATAAAACCATTGGCATGCGATGAGCAGCACTAACCACAGATGGGGCAAACTGCTCTTTACCTAAACTCAGCCACCTACTCTTGGCTTCCAACGCCCTTACCGCTGCGGTGGCACAGTGCATGAGGTCCTACTCACCAGACACAGTGCTGCCCATTGGGGTCCATGCCTGTTGATGGCTCGTCCAGGAGCAAGACCGCAGGGTTGCCCAGCATGCACACCGCGAAGCACAGCTATGACAGGGAAAGGGGTTTGAGTCAAATCTTTTGTAGTCCCTGGCTACTGTGGACAGTGTTGCTTTGTTTATGGGAATCAAGGTTCCGATTTATAGGGAACGTGGTTTTGGAAAGGGCTAATTTCCATCAGCCCACGTTGAGAGACAACACGATGCTCTCCTGGGTAGCTCAGAGTGCAGGTAGGTCCCTCCCCTCATGGAGGGGATTTTTGGTTTGTGCTATGAGCATTGCAGTGCTCATTATAGGTAAAACAAAACACACCTTTCTGGTTATGCCAGCAGATAATTTTCTGGTTTTTTTTTTTAAATAGTCTTGAAGCTGCAGAGCATTCACTATTCTGTGGGGAAAGGGAACAAGCAAAAAAAGAACATTCTTGTCATTCTCAACTCAATACTCTCACCAAGGAGTCCCAAAATGATAAGAAAGAGGAATTCTGTTCCCCTTGCTCTTGACTCCTGCTTGTTTTTGTTAAACATTTATTGTGTTATTAAAACATAAGTGAATTTTTGAAGCAAAGTGGACCGAATAAGCCACAAGCTCTTTTCTAACCCAATCATTAGCGTCAACAGCATTATAAACCCATTCCACCTCACCAGTGTCGGCTGAGCCGGCAGCACTTACGCACCCTTTCTTGTAGTGCCAAACTGTAACATCAGAGAGTTTAGAAATGCTTCCTAAAGATAACATACGCAAAAGGATATTAGTGGTAAATTTATCTCCACCACATGCACTTAGGCAAATTGGAGATTTTCTTAACCCACTCACTTAATCACAGCATTTAGCACAAAATCCCTTTTGCAGTTCCATTTCCTGAGTTTCTTTCAAGGTTGCTTCTTGCTCACAGTGAATTTTGCCTTTCTGGTCCCCTTCCCATGCCCTAGGATCAGGGGATAAAACATTGACCAACCCCTTGGAAACACCCTCCATCCGTACCGGTTGACAGCAGCAGCTGTATCCTCCTTGCACACCCCTTTCACGGCCGCGTAGACCCAGAGGTGCTGGTGCACGGTGAGGTCTGGCCAGAGCGGGTCCTCCTGCGGGCAGTAGCCCAGGAAGGCAGGCGTGTGGTCCTGGAGGTGAGGGCTCGCTCCATTGCTCCTCTTCATCAGCACCTGCACAACCAGGCTGATCGTTTTGCTCTCACAGAGCCTTGCACAGACACAAGGGTATGGTTCAGAGTAAGGCTCTGGGCTGCATTGGGATTTAGGCGAGGAGACCCAAAGAGCAAGGGAGTGATTTTTCAACCCTCATTTACATGGTTTCTAAATATAAACATGGCCAATTAGGGTAGATGCAACTGCTTGTCAAAGTTAGATGTAGCTCACAATATTTTTTATGAATATGTTATTTGATTTAATAGCCCAACGCGTTCAGTTAAAGCCTTGATCCCTAATCATGCTTGGAAAAAAATTCTAGCTTAGCACAGGTACAAGGTTTGCACTTGCACTTGTATCATGGATCTATCCTGTTTCTCCAGATGCCTCCTACCTGCCCAGCAGTCAGTGGCGTCTCTCCAGTAATCATTTTGATAGCTGTGCTTTTACCAGCTCCGTTGGGCCCCAGAAGTCCTAATACTTCTCCTGGAATCAATACATACAATTTCTTAGCAAACCTGCTCATTCAACAAATATATTGGGCACAGTCCCATAAAAGAAAAAATATAAAAGAGACCATGCCAATATCAAAGATCGTATAAGAGTAAACAGTATAAATATATGCTCTGAGAGCCCATAATGTTTCAACTCTAACTGATGCTACGAGTCTGGGCATTGCTCCCAGGTCACTCAGAAGCCACTGCGGAAGCGGATCCTGGAGAGAGGGAGCTATGTTACGTTAGATAACGGGGAGTCAAAGGTAATTAATAGGATGCATCCGCATCATGTTGTTCATTAGCACATCAACCACAGACCAACCATGCCTTAACCACAGTGCAAACGGATTTGACCTCTATGTCCTTGCTCAGGTAATCGAGAACTTGCAAAGAATTAACTCTCTGGGCATGATCAGGGGTCCAAAACAGGTCTAGGATGACAGTTCCAGTTCTCACCTTTTTTAACACAGAAGGAAACATTTTTGGTGGCCGTTTTCTTCTTCTTAAAAACTGAACCAGCTTGCTTTATTTTAAATTCCTTGCACAGATTGCTGACAATAATGACTGACTTCTGAAAGCAAGGACGAAGAAGAAAGATTAGTCTATCATATACTGTATAGCATCAGTCCTTCAGTAATATTTTTCCACTAAAAAAGTCAGAAAACGTTCTGAAGATCTTTGAATTTATTTTATAGTTCACCAACAGAGAATATGAGGTACAAGAGGACACTTTATTGTCCATGTTCCTCTTAACAGCTTTCTTCTCTATCCTGATGGGACCCACACTGTACATTTGGGATTTTGATTTTCCCAGCGAGAATGATACAGCCAGAGGACCGACTTGCACTTCTGGTACTTGGTGGTTTGTTTTTTACCAGCGCACTTCTTACTGATATAAATAAAATGAGAAGGACATAGTAGGGAATAGTCATACCTCCTCCTGACTCGGAGCTGCTATGGCGTTTCTCACTGCTGTTCTTTCAGCTTTAACATCTTCATCTTCCTCTTCGAGCTCCTTGGGGTGCTGGTGGCTGCTTTCTCTTCTTGGGGAAATTCTACAAACCCGAAAAATTCATCTTAACATTTTGTTCTTTACCTTTGTTCCCCACCAATGCATTTTAGATAGACCAAGAGTGAATGTCCCTCTGGTTCAATGTTTTTTGTGGTTTTTTAATTATTAGTATTATTTTTTTAGATTTATAATCTTTCTGTGTTGTACAAAGAACCAAGCTGGTACATCCACACAGCACAGGCAGCGCTGCATGGAGACACTAACAAGCTTGAGAGCTGTTTCATGTTATCATAGCACTGTAATATTTAAGGGGCTATTTTAGTTCTAAAAAATCACCAGTATTAAAAAAATATATTTAAATATAGGGACACAAAAGCAATCATATTTCATCAAAACGTTGTCTTCAAGGAAAAGCAGTGTGGTAGGAGTTTAGATCTTGTGTGTGCCTGTGGTGAATGTGTGTTTATACAAACCTAAATATTGGGTCCTTTCTCAGAACTGCTCTTCCATATTTTATCTCCAAATATCGAAGAAGAAAAATGAAACCCACAGAATGGATATAGGGCTGAAAAAAAGAGGTTGCCACATTAACATCCTGGCCTTCCATCCTGCTATGTCTGGAACTGAGAAGGTGGTGGCAGTGTTATAAAATGCGTGGGGGAAAAACACAGTATGAGAAAATAAAGTCAATTAACATCTAAACCCAGGGTAATCCTGAAGGCTGTGAACTCCACTGTCACTGCGGAAAATACCCATGGCAGGAGAGAAACACAATTCATAAGACAACAGGGACGCATTAAGTGAGCTGGGCTTATGTCATTCTCCCTTCCCCATTTCAAAGGAGTGAGGTTATTTTGGCACAGGGGTTTAATTTGTCATCCAGACTCTTCGAGATCTTCCTTCTGCATGACACGAGTGCAGGTTTCTTGCCTGCTTCCTCATACCGTAGGATGGGGTTTAGGAGACACACGTACCTATATAAAAGTAATCTTAAATGTTTTCTTACTGCAAAGACAGCTGCTAGTACTTCATTCACTGGCATCACGTCAAATACCTCAGCGTCTTTTACAAAAATCTGTAAGAATTAAAAAAAAAATACACAATGAAGACCTGTAATCCTTTAGTATAATGCTGGCTAGCTTTAGAAGGGTTAAAGCAAACAACAAATACACAAAATATACAAAAGCTTCTGTTTTACCAAAAGTATTCACCATACAGATGAACAAATACAGATGTTTGACTTTGGGCATCCCCAGTCCTATTCCAGAAAATGTCACGGCACTCCGTACACATATCAGACTCCCTTTTTAGGGGTAATGGCCTATCACGGGAAAACATCTGGTCTACTCTCCTTTGGGGTCCTGGTGGAGAAGAGGTGGAGGCGAGAGGGACAGGACAGAGGAGGAGCCTCTTCTCTTTGGACTTCACTCCTCAGTCACTTATGGCTCACACAGAGTCTTGCACATAGCTGGAGAGTTTTGTTAAATTCTTAGCTGACTTTCCACCACCCCCCTCAGCTGACACGGAGTAAAGCACCTTGTGAGTATTCTTAATTCTCACTCAGTTTCCATGCGGAGTCAGATGCATAACTTCAAATTTCCTCTTATGATTTTTCAAGCTGAGTTGCTTGACTCTGCATGGAAAGAATTAAGAGTGCTTACCTAATCTACAGTCACAGCTCAGCTGCATGAGAAGTACTCCCTAGCCATAAGGAACAGCTGGAAAAATTAGATCTGACCTGAAACGGCCATCTAACGATGCGCTCTGGCCATTTGGAAAACCCCACCTATGAGAGGAAACCAATGAGCCTTCCCAGAACACAGTGTGCGGTTACCACCAGACTTTGCTCACGCGGACACACGGTTGTGTCTTACAGTGGGGTGCGTCTCCTTGCCCAGTGCCACCGCTTACCTGCTGACAGTTGGTCATTACACCCATCAGTGGGTACACGGGAATCAGGAGAGACACAACATAGAGGGAGACTCCAATGCCGGTTAAGAAATCGATGACTCTGCTGATGATATAAGAAACAAAGCATACCTAAAAACAAAACAAGAGGGTAACTTAGCTGATGGGAAGGGTTATGCTCCTCACTGGACTTAAAAATTGTGTGGGACTACCTTTTCAATTCCCTGTTGAATTTCTAAATATGGACAAGAAATATAAAGGCAAGAAACGAAACTTCTTCCCAGAGACGGGGCTGCTTCAGGCAGAAGAATGAAGCACGGGATCCTGCACTGTTCTTTCCTATCCCAGTTCATGCCAAATAACCCATCTCCTTCCGGCTCGGGCTTAGGCTGTCTGCATCTAACCTGATGGCTCATGTCTCAACACCTTACATCTCTTGGATGTGAGGTGTTAAACAGAGCGATAAAATAACTTTTTTTCCTCCATTCCTGCACCAGCTCAGGGTGGATCCAAGCATTTCCCCATGTTGCAGTAGGGTTGTAGGAAGAGAACATGGTGACATGAATTTAATATAGAATTGACTGCTATAAAACACATGCCTGCATTTACGTTCTACATCTATACTTGGTGTTTTGACCTCTTGTTCATCCTTAAGCTCTCAAAATCCATTCCTGTAAACCTACAGCACTTTATCTAGCCATATGCTTACCAATATCAGGATAAAAGACCAAAAATCACAGTTCCATCCTTTGTGAGACATGATGGAAATCAAGTAGAGGAAGAGAACGATAGAAATTCCATAGCCAAAAGTACCCATGATCTACACAAAAAAAAAGGGGGTTTCATTGGAGAAAATTGAGTGATCTAAACAACCAGAAACCTATGTATAGCAATGTGGTTCAGTTTAAATGATTGTACATTAAGATCAGGGCATTCAGAAATTACCACAATTTTACTGCTCAGTAAAAAGGAGTATATTAAGGCAAAATTTATTGCCTTTTATTTCCAGCTGGGGAAACCCAAATGGCAGGAGGTGAAACAAGGAGAAGGTCAATAAGCATCTGGGGACCCAGGGATGTGCCAGTACCGTCTGCACCCACAGCGTATAAGTTGCCCCTACAGGTCCTCAAAATATTACCCTGATCCTTCCCTAGTGAACGAGCAATCACCAGAATGGGATGTACCAGCAAGAAGAGGCAGTCAATGCTTCCAGAAACGTTGTTGCTCATTGCAAGCTGAAGCCCAAACATGGAGAAGAGAAGAAGCCAGCACAGTGGGATGTCCACCAAAAAAAAAACACCAGTAAGCCGAGGGAAAGAGCCCCGAGATCCGCAGCTGGGCACGAGCTCCCACCTGGGAAGGCACAATGCAAAGGGAAGTTTATTGTTGGTGCCTCGTTGGCCAACTGCTCCCCGGGGAATGGCTCCAGGAAATAAAAAGCTAAGAAAAAGCTGATACCATTGCGATACTGGGGTAAAATTCCACTGCTTTTTGTCTTTTAGCTTTTTGTGCTGGCTGCAAAGCTGCTCATGGCAACACAGAGCAAAACGCCTCAAGCTGCCAATCACATTCAAACGTCATCATGGCAATGCAGTTGTCATGCCCTCTGCCCAACCCAAATCTGCTCCATTTCAAGGAATTTACCTTATAATCCTGCATGTAGCCCATTGCAAAGTGAGGAGGAAAACCAGGGAATAACAACAGCATATAAACGAGGTAAAAAGAAACAAAATAATTCCAGAATCCTGGATTCTCTGTCTGAAAACAGAAGAACAAAGCATTTGTAGAAAACATCTGCAATGCAATGGCTAGGTGCCACAATTCCTCTTCCTGCATTTCTCATCAAGTACAGGGCAGCATGAACACAAAGGGGGATTTGAAAGCAAATACTGACAGGAAGAAGGTTTTCCTCAAACCATAGCCTTGCAAAATGCTTGCTGCTGGTGAGGAGAGATGTGTGGGGCAGGTCCCACTCCTCCATACTAGACTCGTGGTGAGCTCTCTCTTCTATCAATTGATGGGACACAGCTTGAATAACGTCACGTAGAGAATAAGGGACCTCCTGAAGAAATCCTCCCAGCCACCCTCTCCGTTCAACAGCCCTTGAGACCCACAAGGGAAAAATTAGCTTCGGTTTTTCTGAAGTCAAATGTGATGGTCCCAGAGTGACCACCAAGCAAGGTGGGTCTACAGCTACAGGCAGCCCCACATGGCTTCCCATTAAAATCTGATGACTTCCTGACACCTTAAGCAGATTTAAGAACTATTTTCTGACACCTTCTGGCTGCCAGGCTCTGACACTTACAGCGAAAAATGGATGACTCCAGATCCGAATGTGCACCGTGGAATTTAAGGCTCTCAGCATAGCATTGCTAATGATGTTCACAAGGACCGGGAAGCAGTTGACGGCCTCCATGTGACATAACAGAGTAAACCTGTAGCTCTTCAAAGAGCAAGAAAACAAGATGAAAACTCTTGGCTTTTCTCATCTGCAGGGAAGCAGTAGAAAAAGAGCATGCCAGGAGAATCCAGGCCTGAAATAATTCATTTTGCCTATGCTTTGTTTGCTAACCCCCAAATGACTAGGTATTGGGAGTCTGTGTAGCTGTCCTACAGAAATGAAAAGTCTGAGGAGGAGGATGAGGCAGATAAGGCCTCTTCTAGCATGCAGTTTATTGGTGAAAAAACTACTTCCAAACCTTTGTACCCATGGGCCTTACTCAATAGGACCATCCCCCAGAGCTGATGGAGGCATTTTGCTTAATTATTTAATTGTTGGGAAGAATCAGGAGGAAGAGAACAGAAATCCTCACCTGGCCTTTGCGAGACACTTTTATAGCCCCGTTGTGGCTTAGCTCCTCTGTGATATTTTCCTCACTTTTTATTTCCACTGTGAGATCTTGGCTCTCGAGCATGTGGATAAAGTCTTCAATGCCTGCGCCTGGTGTGAAAGCCAAAAGTGGAGGCATCACAATACTGAACAACAAGAGAGTCTTTGATGGTTTGGTTTTTTTTTTAAATCCATGACTACCAAACTAAAACAGAGAAAGTCTAATAACAGTGGACATCAGGCAGCACGTATCTTGTGGATAACTGCACATTCATTTCTGTGAAGTTAATGGATTTCAGCCTCATTAACCAAATCTTGCATTGTAATTTTTTTTGCTGCTTTTGCAGAGTTGCTGCAAAATGTATTTTCCTTGCGGATGGTCTGATGAAGCCACCAGTATCATGCTCTGGCAGAATAATATAAAGGAGCATCCTCTCATAGGAGTGTTGAAGGTAAAATGCTGGAAGTAGACCATTAATTTGACCCAGCGTTATTGAGCCCTTACTGGATTATGGTGCCTGGTTTGAGTATCCCGCACTTTGCAAATGCAGGAATTGTTTGGATAGAGGTCTGGATTTGGGGCAGGGAAAGACCTGTGTCACTTCTAATCCCATCTGCTATGATAACCCTTTTCACGTCACTGCATCAGGATCTCACCAGCTGCTGAAGCCAAAGTAGGCTTCATTCACAACCCATTAAAATTACTATTTCCATGCTCTTGACAGAAGACTTCCAGTACCTGGTAATTCAGTTTTTAGCAAACAAAGCACAGCCCAAATGAATTATTTCAGGCCCGGAATCTCCTGGCGTGCTCCGTCACCAAAACCTTCACCATCCCTTGGATCCCCCTCCATCCTACAGCCGTCTGCTCTCTTCACTTATTTTCCAAGAAGCCCCCGAATAGGAACGGATGAGGAAGGGCTGGTTCCCCTCACCTGTGTTGTTGTAGACCAGGAGGCTGGTTGTCTCCGAGCGAGCCCTCCTCCCCAGGGGCAAGAAGTACCGTGCAGGTGAGAGCTCCCAAGCACTCACGCTCTGCCAGGCAGCAACCAGGGACAGTTGCAAAACCAGAGGAAGCAGAAAAACCACATAGAGCAGCAAACTACATTCAGAAAGAGATGAATAAACACTCTGAAAACAGATACTCAGCAGAATACATTTGCATATTGGGAATGGTACACTACATTCAGGTTACCCAGTGCTTTTTCTGTTAAAAATCTTCAGCAATTTTATTTTCAGAAGTCTCAAACCTTGATCCTCCACAGAGACCCTCAAAATTTGGCAGGGAGAGGACCTCTGATCTGGAGTGCTTGACTTTTTAGGGCCGTGAAATGCCTTTCAGACTTCCTTAAGATGTAAGTTTTTCATAAATCAGCACCTCCCTTCTGTTTCTTGTGCCCCACCAGGAACCGGCAGCATGCCAGACTGAAGACCAATGGGACCAAATGAATTCAGACACTGGCAGCATGAGAGAAGTTTAAAAAAAATAATTAAAGAGGAATTCTGAAAGTAGTATTTTTCCCTCCTCTCTCTGTACACACCAGTTTATTTTAAAGCTCCCTCCTCCATCTGAAATAAAAGTGTTTCTGAATGATTCTTTTATTCAGAAAGAGGTTTCCCTTGCATACATCACTCAGTATAGAAATGAAAATGCACGGAAGGGATATTTTGTATTAGTGACACTGGAAAGGAGGAAGCTTTCCACTCCTCTGAGTGCAGATTACCAAGATCATTCAGAGCCAAGACCTGATATCAATTAATCCAAATGCTCATTGAAACAGAGGTGTGAAAATTATCCCCCCCCCTTGCTGTGACTGTGCCCAGTTCCAGACCTGCAAGCAAGAATCGCTTTGGTACTTACATTGATCGCAGGTTTTTCACCGAACTCGTAAGCTTTAAGAAGTGCACCCATGCCATGGCAGAGACCTGCTGCCTCCAGAGGGCCAAGCCATCGACTGCTGCCTTCCCAGTGCCCGAGAGCAGCAGGGAGCCCGGCTCCGTCTCGTCGGGGCACCGCGGTCCTGCTTCTGCCCACTCCTCCCCAAGGATGCGCTCACCTGCAGAGAGTTTTCCACATGCACATGTATGTCTGAGACCAACTTCTACGTTGTAACGTGTGAAGAATTGAGCCACCTCGTAATCAGCTGTTGGAAGCGTGCCCGGGGGTTATTGCAGAGTAGCTGGATTGTGTATTTGTAGCCAGGATTGTACCTTCTTGATCCACTGTGGCTTCTTCCTCCAGCCTCAGGAAGACATCCTCCAGAGTTGTCATGCTAACTCCGTAATTGATAATTCCCCGGTCGGAGCAGCTGTCCAGGGCACTGAACAGATCTGCAGGACAGAGACAACACAAGCGGTTTCAAACATAAGCATGTATCTCCAGACCAGACTTTGGCTCGGTGGAGTCAACCTGACTGGGGCATCTCCAGTCATGGGGAAAGTGATAAAGCAGCGAGCTGCCAGGATGGAAAAATCCACAAAATCCGTAGCTCTTTGAAGACGTTTTTCTACTGAGCACCAGCATCGCAGGCTCTGCACCCTCCAAGGCAGTAGGGCTGTGGGACCGTCAAACTGAGTGTGATGGGCACAGCGAGCAAGGGTCTGCCCGGTGCCACTGCAGGTAGGGACCAGTACTGTCTGTATGCACTTTTCTGTTTTCACTATCTTCTCTTTCAACAAAAAGCAAAATAAACTCTTGGTAACACATGTAGTCTGCTCAATTTTTCATTACAAACAGGTCCTTATGTCTCTATGGACAATTCTCAATTATTTTAATATACATTACCTGGGAATTTATTCACGTTTTCCAATGGCAGTTTATATCTCAGCTCATATCGACTGTGTCCTGAGAATGTGACATTGGGGATGTATCTTTTAACCAGAGACGTCAGGTTCTCTAAGTCACAAGACTCACTGACATGGATCCTGTTCAGTTGAAAGAAAACAGATGTTTAGTCTTGGGAGAAGAACACACACACAAACAACAACTACCATTGTATTTGCTAAGATGTATAAAAAACCCCTCCAGCATACTTCACTCATTCCTTACTCTGGAGTAAAGTGCTGCTTCAGTTAATTTAACTGAATATTAATTCTGTTAATTTTCTTGTTTTGACAACATCTGTTCTGTGGCTTCTCCCTTACAGTCATTCTGGTGGCTCCATGTACACGCATGTTCCCAGATACCAGTTGTTGGGGCTGAAGTAGATACCTTAAATGATAGCCAATCCCCCATTTTTTCTTCAAGAACAGAGAAGAACCGACGCACTTCAGCCTCCCGTGCGAGATAAAAGCCTTGCGGTCTAAAGAAAAAGCCAAAGGGATTTCTACTGTAGAGCAGTCATTCAAGACTTTTTTTGCAACTGGACCTCACATGAGCGTTCTGCTCCAGGGTTATTCTGCAGAGATGCTACAGGCTAAGCCCGTGCTTACCCGCGAGGATATCAGCTTCATCCATGAACTGGGTAGTGAACATGATCACCCGTCCAGCTCTGTGCTCCTTGAGGAGGCTCCACACTCGGTGCCTGGACAGAGGATCCAACCCAGCCGTTGGCTCATCCAGGAACAAAACCTGCAGAAAGGATGAAATCAGGCTCTCCTCGCTGCTGAAGCAACTGCACGTCTTTTGGATTTGGTGTTCCCCTGAAAGACTCAGGTCCTGAAGGCAAGAGACCCAGGCCACCTTTTATGCAAGGGCAGCTATTCCGGGAGCTGTGCAGAGGTCAGGGAACTATCGAGCTGCTTTAAAACTAGACTAGCAAGATGGATTATGAATTTAACAAAATGAAATTATTAAATTTATTAATTTTAATAATTATGAGCACTTTAAAGTACATGCATAAAAAGTTTGTGTTGGACCTGAATATTTTCTATATTGCAGAGCGGTGCCTGCTGCTTTACCTGGGGGTTTCCAAGCATGGCTATTCCAATGGATAACTTCCGTTTTTGCCCACCACTCAGTTTCTCAGCTTGAGTGTCTTGAACGTTACTGATATCCAGAAGTTCCAAAATGTTTTGCACCTAGAACAGCACAAGGATGTCCATTCTCAGCACCAGTTGCCCTTCTGTCCTTTATTAGCCATGCAGTAGATCTGGCTGGGACTATGAGCATGTACCAAGGTCTACCACCGCCATCAGAAGCAGCCATACAGGGGGGTGAGGGGATCCTCATCTCCTTGGGTTGAGCAGAGGAATTGCTGTGGTTGCATCAAGGCCACAAGCTTGCCTATTAACCTGGTCAAAGCTCGACATCAGCTTCAATTTTCAGAAGACAAAGCCAGGTGGACCCTTTGAGCTTCCCAAGGCAAAGGGAACTTTTATTGAAATGTGGGGTTTGTCTACAGCCTCATGTTGCTGGCAGAGATGCATTTCAGGGGAACACACACTTACCTCTCGCTCTACCTCTTTGGACTTGATGCCCTTGATTTCTGCAAAAGTTTTCAAGTTTTCTTTCACTGTCAAGACCTCAAACTGTGTGTTGAATTGTGGGCAAATGCCAATCATCTCTCTAATCTCTTCCCTATCTCCTATTTCAGAGAGTTTGTAGTTGTATATGGTTGCAGAGCCTATTTACAGGAATAAACGTGAAGAGATGGAACAAACTGGTCTTTACAGCTTTTGAATCAAGCCCACCTTGTCCCACCATGTGCCGTCCTACCTTCAGAAGGCAAAGTGAGTCCACTGAGCACGTTTAACAGCGTTGTCTTTCCAGCCCCACTGTGGCCAAGTAAGGCAGTGATCTGACCCTCATAAATATTTAAAGACAAACCTAGAATGAAAACATCGAGTTTGGGAAGAAATGAGGTTTGACTTGCCTCTACTCATTGTCAAAGGCAAGACAAGTCAAGAAGTATGAGAACTAAGTAGCAATAATTAGCCAAAAGTGCATTAAGCAACATGGGGCAATGTTCTGCAAACCTCTAACTGAAGGCTGCTCTGTATTTAGCAGAAAAAGAAATAAGACAATAGAAAAAAAGAATCTCTTTAGTCTTATTAAAAATGGAAAATCAGTAAAACCTGAACAAAACAGTAATCAGTCACCTCAATTAATATTTTACATGCATTTTCAAGCAATGCAAGTGTTTTATTTGTTTGACTGAAATGTTTGCACAACTGTTTTTCCTCTTTTTAACAGGAATCAGTATCAGTTTTCATACCTCTTAAAGCTTCTGTCTTCTTGTCCTTCTTTTTATATGTTTTTTTAATGTTGTTGAGTCTAAAAGGAAGGGAAGAAGGATATTATTTCAGGATTCCTATAAATGCATTTCCCTAGTACCCTTTTCATTCTTGTGGATGTCATTTAAAATGACAGAAATGGCACGAAAAGTGAGAGGTACTGGGAAGCAGCCCTGGCGTTCAGCAGAGTTTGGCGTGCTCTGTGCACAGGCATGAGCATCACTACCGGGCACACGAGCGCCAAGCCTTGCAAAGACAACGTCAAGCCCATTGCAACGGATTTTTACAAAAGGATGCCTCCACATTCTCCTTGCTGTTCCTAATGGACATTTAACAAAGTCCACAGCAAAAAAACCCCAAAACATTTTTCTTTAATCTGAATTTATCCAAATTTCACCATTAGTGACCAGCCTGAATGTATTTACCTCATCTGCATTTTAGCTCTAATTTTTCTTTGTGAAATGAAGCGTTTTGCAAGAGCCTCATGAACATGCAAATTGCCTGGATAAGTCAAAACAAAGCTGATGACTGCAGAAGCTGTGGTCTGTGGGAGCATTAAACCCAAGCTACCCAACTCAAAAAGCTTGAATAGCAACTCCTTTCTTAACCTGATGGCCTCATTGCCCATGAATTCTGGGGGCACTGGCTCCACGTTATCATGGAGGAGCTCCTCGGGGCTTGCTGGAGTTCTGGGCATCTCCCTGGTGGAGCCTTTCCTGCTCCGCACCCAGTATGAGGGCTTCAGGCAGAAAAAAGGAGGATCTGGGATGCCGTATTTGCCTGACAGGAATGAAACGAAGATGATCTGTCATTAACCGAAGCCACAACCGAGACATCATCCTAGTCTAAACGTTTAGGAGGTTCTAATAAGCACTAGGCTGCCTCAAAATTGGTACTTTGTCCAGTTAAAAAAAGAGGTTTGGAGCTGGGGTAGACAAGATAAGAAGGTTGGCTTCAGGGCTATATCTAATGAAATAAATATTTTACTTAATGAATTAAAATGTTGTCCCACACATTATTACACTATTTTCTCATAAACAGTTCAACAGCAGTATAATTAGAAAGAAAAAACACTAAATACTTTGTTGTCTTTGATTTGGGAATTACCAGTGTGTGCCAGGGGCAAAAAAGTCACTCAGCAATATAATATTTTTTTTTTTTTTAAGTCCAAAAGCTATTTTGGTTGTCTCAGAGAACGGAGCAGCCCATCATTTCCTTGAGGAGCTATTACACGCAATCCATATAAATCAAAGGTATGAAAGAAGACAGCATGATCACAGGCATAAATCACACCTACCTGGCAGAACTTTGTCGAAATACATAGCTAACAGCATGTATAGGACTGAGTCAAAGACCAGCATAATGTAAGTCGAAAATAAAAAGTATGACTCCTCCATAAGGTTAGAAAAAGAGAAACCCATTCCATATTTTTCTAAATGGAAAACCTGAAATAAAAGACAAAGAAGAGTAATTTTCAGGCTGGAAAACTCTGCCCATGCCATCAAACCATGGATGCAATTGACTTTGTTAACCCAGAAATCATCGGCAGCACTGACCAAGTTTTCTTCCTTTCTTTCTAATGAGGAAGGGTAATAAATTTACTCCACACAGAGATCTTATGTTTTCATTCAGAATTTTCCAGAACAACCCAGAAGCAGAAGAAAAGATCAGAGTTTTATAGGAATTAATACAAGGAACACGATATTGGCACTCTTGGCGCGACAGGGTCATGACAGAGACGGTGTAATTTTACGTAGTGCTTGATTTAAGCACATGGTAAATTAGCAGCAAACTCAGCTCCTGGTGCAGAAATCTCCTCTCCCAAGCAGACTTTTTTTATATACCAGGAAATCAAATATTAACTAACTGGAGCTAGAAAGCACTTCTCAGAGCTATGGAGAGATGACTGATGGAAACACTGGGGAACTGCACAGAGTTATCCAGAGCAGGGATGGAGGACGGATGGCTGCAGCAGAAAACTCAAATTGTATTTTCGCAGTCTCTGTTGCCAGGAAGAGTCACGGGGCAGCAAGAGGGGAACGATCGGGCAGCAAAGAGCTGATGTCCCCGCATCAACTCCCATCTGCCCGGGGTCCAGCCCTGGAAGATAATGGTGCTGTTGTGTGAGGCGATGGGCTCGCTGGGGCTTCCTCGGGTTCATGTGGATGCTACCAAAGTGCACAACGGCAGATTATTTGTGATGAGGGATGCGGTTTTCTCTGCATTCTTTGGCTTTTTAAATAGGGGAATGGGATGGGGGCATTGGAGCCCCTCTTTGCTGACCAACAGCAGCTCAGCTCGGTGGACGTTTCAAAACAGGACGTGGATATGAATGAAAAGCATCTGAAGACTTTACAGCTGTGGAAAAGCTAGTCCTTTGAAATGAGGACTATGATTTCCTATGCCTTTCTCTCTCAACAAAGTACAGCCAGGTCTTTCATTGCCACTGCCTGTGACAAAAGGTACTCTGTCCCCACCGAGAGTGCCCAGGACAGCACGCTACTGGGAAGGTTCAGCTGCAGAGTTGATGCCCCATACCTTTGCAATGCCAGCATTAAATGCAAAAGGACAGAAGAGACCGAGAAACCACTTCCATGGTTCTGGAATGTTTTCTATCAGCACCATGAGGCTCAGGCATCCGAAGAAAAAAGTGATGAGGAACCCCATGGAGCCAGCAAGTTTGGAGGTCCTTAAGAGGGAGCAGAGCATGAAAACCAGGTGGATCTGTAAGAACAGAAGTTTCCCTCGATCACTGAAGAGAATAAATATCTTTAACAGTAGCTCTTCCATTTGCCAGGTAAACAGATCTCTGGTGAGCTGGGCCTGTGTAATAAAATACACTAAAGTCCTTCTTAGTGGGTTGATCTGAGTTTCAGATCAGGTTTTCTCTAGCCAACTTACTGCCTATCAGACCTTCAGGCTGTAATTCAAATGACTGCTGCTGCTTCAGAGAATCCTCTCAGCTATTTCAATTTGTACGACCGTACAAAGGACACCAACCTGAGCACCGTGCAAAGGGCTCTGGAGTAATGCTTAGGCTCATCGACACAGTAACAAATCACATGGTGAGAAAATTTGGCTTTAAAACCCGACTTACACATGCTAGGCCATACAGGAAAAGTAGCAGTAGGATGGCAGGGAAACTGCTGAGGTAGAAAACATCCCGCACGATGAGAGCGGTCAGCAGGCAGGAGAGGACCATCACGTAAACAGCATACAGCAGACTCCAGGAGAGCCTGGAGATGGAAAGGTGGCATTACACTTTGGTTTAATAACTGATTTTTATAACTTCATCGGCATGGAAGAACCATTATAAATTAAAATATTAAGTATTTCCCAGGGTCAACTCATTCACATTCTCTGCAGAACAGAGCATGACCCACCTTTGGAGGAAATACCCGAGGAAGAAGAATATGCTGCTGCCATGCTCAACCCTTCTGGTTTGTCCTTAGAGTACTGGAGAGAACTTAAGAACTCATTGAACTTACTGGCAGTGCACGTGCCCAGGAGTACACTGAGTTTTTTGCAAACAGATCCTTTGGTTAAAAAGGAACTCACCAAAATGCAATATCCTGCAGCCCCATCATCTTCATCAATACTTTGAGCTTCTTCTTTTCTCTTACAACATTCATCGACAAGAAATACATAAACGGAGAGAAACACATCACGATAGTAATCATGAAAAAACTGTATTCTAATGTAATTGAGGACATGACGCTCCTGGACTTCATACGGACACCAGCAATTGATTTCATTTCTTCCCAAACAGAATGATTTGCCACCACCTAAAGGAATTCAAGGTCAACATCTCAGTATTTAGTTTATTCTCTACAGTGAGATGTATTTATATAAGGAGCCTTCTGATTCATCATCCCTAGATTTACTTTTTAATGCAGCTTTATAGAAAACATCAACAAGGAATGCAAGAAAGCCCCAAGGGAAGGGTTCATCCGACACCCTCATGTGTCTGCACCTCAGCTGGACTCCCTCCCTTCTCCTTGGAGGGAGAGAAATCCTTCAGCTCCCCCCAGGGTAAGGATCCAGACACACAAAGGACTCTCATGCTCCCCAAGCTCCCGTTTCTCTCCCCGGGGATGAAAGCAGCCTGGAGGTGCACAGCCAGGTGGAATGACCCCTAACCCTGGTGTATTTTTGAGGAACAATTTGGAAAGGAAGGACAAGAAGCGACAGAGGTGCCTATTAATAACCAAGTCATCCAGCAGACCTTCGTACCACCCCAGTCTCTGGCAAGAATTGCCTTTTTCTTGGAATCCGAGAAATACTCCAAACCAAACAGTGGCATTGCACTCGGTGCACAGCCTTTAAGATAAACCCTCATTTTGAAGAGACACAAAAGCTACTACAAATCTTCACGGCTCAACTGAAACCAGTCATATTCCACAGGAACTTCCTACTGCATTCAGGTTCCCACTGGCACTGCCCATAACATGGCAAGATATTCGCTTTTCCGCAGAATTTTCTGACAAGCTGGTCTCTTGCCGTTGTCCCAGAACAATTTGTCTTTCCTGGGCCAAATTTAAAATGAAAGGACACCCGCATCAGTTCATAAATTTGATTTACCTCTATAATAGCAGCGTCGATGCTGGACTGTAGGGAGAGGAAGCCTTTGTACCAATACTTTGGGCTGTAACAGTAGTGCGATGAGAAATTGTAACAGTTATCTGCAAGAATGAAAGGTTAAGGGCATCGTAGGTAAGAACAGTGAGACATCATTGGTTTTCTCTACAGAAGCTGATGATAAAGAGGGACCTGGGAGTCTTGATGGATGACAAGCTGACCATGAGCCAGCAGGGTGCCCTTGTGGCCAATGGTATCCTGGGGTGCATTAAGAGGAGCGTGGCCAGCAGGGTGAGGGAGGTTCTCCTCCCCCTCTGCTCTGCCCTGGTGAGACCTCACCTGGAGCACTGGGTCCAGTTCTGGGCTCCCCAGTTCAAGAAAGATGAGGAACTCCTAGAGAGTTCAGAGGAAGGCAACAAGGATGATGGGGGGACTGGAGCATCTCCCCTGTGAGGAAAGGCTGAGGGAGCTGGGCTTGTTCAGCCTGGAGAAGAGAAGGCTGAGAGGGGATCTCATCATCACATACAAATATCTTAAGGATGGGTGTCAAGAGGATGGAGCCAGACTCTTTGCAGTGGTGCCCAGTGCCAGGAGAAGGGGCAATGGGCACAAACTGAAACATAAGAAGCTTCAGTTGAACATGAGGAAAAACTTCTTGACTTTGAGGGTGCCCGAGCCCTGACCCAGGCTGCCCAGGGGGGCTGTGGAGTCTCCTTCTCTGGAGATATTCAATCCCAGCCTGGACGAAGTCCTGTTTAACATGCTCTAGGAGAACCTGCTTGAGCAGGGGGGTGGGACTGGATGATCTCTTGAGGTCCCTTCCAACCCTTGCCATTCTGGGATTCTGTGATAAGCATGCACATGCACTATGGGAAACCCTTCAAATGGACAGTGGCCCACTGGAAAAAAAATTTATCAATTTATTAAATCATTTAACATATACAGTTTATTCTAACAAAGCAATGCCTATCCATGCCAGGCAATCGCCCACCCATAAGTTCTCATTTTGTATTACCTATGTATCCAAAGTTGTCATTTGGAATAGCCACATCCCTAGGAGGAAACCTGAGGTGATAGGAGAAGTTGCTTTTAAATACAACCCCTATAATTTCACTATCTGAAATCCAGGCTTCCTGCAGGGCTCTCTCATTGTCCAGCGCCTCCAGTTTTATACCTGTAGTTTATAAGAAAAATATTGCAATGAGCTTCTGTAGGTCTGGAAATGCATGCACGGGCACTGGGTGTATATTTGGCTTTTTATAGCATTGCAAACTGCTCTTTTCCAGTTGTCCTTGCTGGGCAGGCTGGCACCTTTAAATACTTCATACTTTACCAGTTGGGAAGAAGTGAACCTCAGAAGAATGAACCAATGGGTTTTAGGAGTATTATTCTGCAAATGCAGAGCTTTACAGCTCAGAAGCACGCACTGCCCTCGCTAGTGATGTAAATACCAGAGACTATCTGTGAGAATGGAGGGTTTGGGGTGAATTTGCTCTACCAACCAAAGATACCAGAGAACCACTAAAACATAACGCGTACTAGGTTAAATAACAAGAATCATTTAAAAGGCAAACCATACCTGCCATGACAGAGTTCAAGGCCACTTTGTTCATTATCTGCCTGGTGGTCACAGTGACGGGCGTAAAAGCGATGGTGACCCCGGTGGCATCGTAGGCAGGGTCATCCAGCTGCCCGAGGGAGCGGTAAGGCACTTCGGGGTAGTGGAAGTTCGTCATGAACAAGCCCACTATGAACATCAGCAGCAGAAACAGCAGCGGCAGCATCCACTCCT